TTGTAAAACGTTTAGATCGCCTATTAAATCGCCTAGGCTCCGATTAGGCATTCTAGACACTAGGTATTGGGTCACCGCCCGCTTAGCGCCTAACGCTTTCTTGAACATTGATTAGGGGTTAAAACCTTTTTTATAATATAAAGTTTTTGAGATTTAGAATTTAAAAATCTTTAATTAGTGGCATATTTTAAAATGAACAACACATAGTAGCATTTTTTAAAATAAATACACCAAAAATGATATTTTTGCAATTGTTCCATAGAAAACAAATGAACACAACAACATGTACATGTTTCCTTTTCCATTTGCAATTGTATTTCTCTTTTGATTTTTTTTTACCAAAAACATACAATATAAGCCGGGAGAGTGACACATCCAATTCGGATGCACTAACACAAATCATTAGACTATATATGTTTTGGTCGATTTTTTTTCTTTTCAATTTTAATATATTTAAAGAACTTGTTGTAACTCCAAATAAAATATAAAGCTACATTGACCGCTTTTGTGGCTATTGTAACTTTGTAAGAGTGGGGTTAAGAGTACAAAAACGAATAAGGTTAGAATTCCGTGTTGTCAAAGGTTTAAAAACAAGATATTATATTCTCATCATTAGTATATAAAGTTAAAAACAATCATATTATTATTATATTCTTAGAATTATACAAATAACCTTTTTCCTCATTACAATAAGAAGAGAGGACCAGATTAGCCGGAATTAACTGAACGTTGAAAATGCAAAAACGACTATATACAATTGTATCTTCAAGACATTCAACTAGTCCACTAATACTTTGGACCAGTAAGGAATATCGTACGTAGTTTTTATATGCAAGGATTGAAGTAACAACACATCACTGTTTAGGTGTAAGTCTTCCATTATATGTCACTCTTGTGGTGGGTATCAGTCTTTTACATGTCAAAACGATATTTAACCAGAAGAAGAAGAAGATTACTTTAGAATTCTAACTTGATAGAGACCAAACATGGTGTAAATTGATATAGCTATATATTGTTTTCTTGAAATGTTCCAATCAAATTGGGTCACGGATCTAACTTCTAAGGTATACTTAGGATTCGTCCACAAAACTATCATTCATATTCCATACGTTAACTTAAACGCACGAATAGTTTATTTGTTCTAAAAATCCATTTGTTCTAAGAATCTATCGATAGATCGACTTTGTAAACCTTTGATCGTTGTTTACCATAATGATGAGTATCCACTGTGTGGATATAAATTCCAAACGGAGAAAATATACTAAAGAATCAGTACTGGGGTACAGAGGCACAATTCCAAACTAAAAACTGGACTACTTTGGTTCCATTCTAGATGGATTAAAACGGAATTCGATTAAACTGAAACAAAATTTGGTGAAGAGTAAAAACCGGCTTGAATAACATAACAAACAGAGACAAACAAGAACAACAAAGTAGTAAGCTAGAGATAAAACACACACATAAATAGCCGGATAATCTATGTACAGCTGCAAAAGACGAGGAAAAGAAAAGCGGTCTTTTACCTCCGCTATAACAAATCAACGTTGCTCTCTGCATTTTAGGACGACGTTACCTCCGCTTCAACTTGTTGTCGAGCAAGGTACTTCTCTCTTCTCTCCTTCTGATAGACGAAACCAAATTTGGTAAATTAAAAATGGAATCCACTGGAGCAAGAAAGTAAAAACATAAAATCCGTACAAAGTGGAGGATATCTTGTATATCTATCATACCCATTCGTCTATGACAAGACCCTCACCGACCACGCGAGGCCCTGTCTCTGGTGGAGGCTTCTTTCTTACTTCAACTGCAGCTTCAGCTTCATCCAATTGACGCTTCAGTTTCTCCAGTGCCTGATAATTAGATCATAATCCGCCTTATTATAAGGTTCAAACCAAGGAAATTTCTAGTATATGTGGTCATATCAGCATGAGAATCTACTTAAAAGCTTACAGCACTTGGGCGGTCTGGATCAATGAAAATGACCCGAAGAACCTGCTCCACTGCTACTTGATCCTTTTGCTCATCAAACTGTATGATAAACACCAAAATATGCATCATCTAAAAATACTATGACGAAAATGACACATAACATCTTAGGGATTTAATAATCTTATGCCTCAAAAATTTTATGAGGCAGAGACGAGCTTATCCTTTTACAACCTATTAACCAGTTGCATTGCATTGGCCTACAAGTGTTCTGTATGGATGTATTCTAAGATTGAATATAATTACTTTAAACGATGGACTTCTTTGCTATAACAAATCAGTGCATGATAAAGTATAAACATCGAAAAATGCATGCATCATCTAAAAATAGTAAGAAGAAGATGACTCAGAACATCTAATGCCTCAAAACATTCTGAGGCGGAAGTGGGGTTATCCTTTGATAACCTATATACCAATTGCATAGCACTAGCTTATAAGAGTTCTGCAACTACGAATATATTCTAAGATTGAATAAACTTGCTTTCAAAGATGGACTTCTGAAACGAACAGTACTACTAATGGAGTTTTAGTAGGAGTGACATAACATACCAACTCAGGCACATACTCTACTCCTGCTTTCACTTTCAGGCTCATAATCTTAAACTTAACCTTGTTCTTCTGGCCCAACTGCTGTTTTTCATTGTTCTCTGGGTGTTCCACAAACTTAAACACTGCGCATAAACGGTTATAAGGAGATACATATCAGAGGCTGTATAAACTAGCTGGAGTAGTTTCCAGAATCTCATTACCAGTTGCAAAGACGCTCTCTCCTGGTGCCAAAACACCACCAGGTGGACGCATGTAACAACTTTTTGGTGCAGTTGTTTGGAACTAAAACAAGAGAGAGCAGAGTAACTTAGATGCCAAAAGACCACAATTGTATCATTTTCACTACAAATAGACAATACAAGTCAACCAAAAATCAACTTCTCTGCAATATCTACCTAGTTGCTTAACTTGTTGAGAATCAAGAGCAATGTTGATGTCAATGATACATACAATACAACTCGGTTACCTTAAATGCAGTATGAGATTTGCTAGTATTCTTAAGCTTGATTGCACTTCGCACTTGTTTACCAGGTTCATCTGAAACATAAACCACAATTTCTAACTTCGTTCTCTCTAAGAAAAAAAGAAACAACAAAATCTTGATTACGTTTCAATCCCTAAATCCGTAGGAATTATTAACTTCCTCCACAGAGAGAGAGAGAGCTTCTAAGGATCCTATGTTCATAACTTCGATTCTCTAACTACAAAAACGATCAGAACCAAATCAATCAAGTTTCAGAGAAATGAACTATTCTGAAAAACCAGGCAAAATCGAAGGAACAAAGAGGACGTACAAGGGAAATACAGATAACTTGAAGGATCTAATCGGAGACGACGGCGAGCCGGAAGAAGTGATCTCGCGACGGAAGACACAGTCATGGCGGAGGACGGCTTGGGAACGCCGGAGATATCCGTATTCCGATGACCATGTCGGCTGCTACGGTAATTTTGACTTGGATTCTGTGTTGAAGAGGAAGAAGATGAGGTGGTGCTTCTTCTCCTCTGCCAAAACGGGCATAGCCAGAACAGCTTCTTGTCCGCACTCGGATTCCGACGGTCAGTGATCGACATCGGAATTAATCGATTTCCGGTGACCGGAGAACAACCTCGACTTCTGGACAATCTCTTCCTCCTCTATTGTCGAGGAAGAGAGACAAATCGATGTGAATTTGAAAGATTGAAGAAAGAATCGACAAAAGAAGAAATAAACAAAATGGCGTTTTGTTTTGGCTTTTTACGCCTGCGTGCGCGTCTGCGCGAGTCACGAGTTTTTTTAAAACTCTAAAATCGAATTTCAAATGATTTATTATTTGTTAGTTTATTGTTTTAGTGAAGTCCGTGAAGGTGTGTGTGTGGGTACATTCGTCGTCTGAAAACGAGTTTTGGCAAACAAAAAGTCCAATGACTGTTTTTTTTGCGGGTTTGTCATTTTATTTATACAAAAGGAATTTAAATGAGATGTGAGTGGTGGTTGTGAATTACTTTTGGATTCGTTGCGTTGTCTATTTAGTTGGTAACGCTGTTTTTCTCATTTCAACATTTTAAATTTTAATAGAGTATTGTTTTTTTTAGATTTTGTTTTTAATAATGTAGAAGTTTTTGGATTTTTGATTTTGCAACCTAATCGATCGTTCTGTTGGTAGTTATTGTTTATTGTGATAGATGAATGGTTTCGTCAAATCCCTTTGTAAACTTTATTATATATGTTCAAACAAATCCTTTAACAAAAACAAAAAGTTGCTTTCCTTCACATTAAGTTTTCATGATTTGTATTGTTATTCTTACGATGTCAATTGCTTCACAGCTTAGTGTGCCGATAGAGTACCGCTTGATCATGCTTTCATGTTTTTTTTTTTTAAGTCATTTTTTGCCATGTGGCCATTTGAATGGTTTACTATTTTGTTCAGAAAACAAATTGTAACCTATATTGTTCATTTTCATTAATGATATTCACATTTTTAACCAAAAAAAAGTATTTTCGACTTAGAAGATATATAAGTTTTGGGGCAAAACCTATATATCTTCTAAGTAAAAAATAACAGTGTTTTTAATTCATGAATTGAATTAGGGTTTATATTCATCTCTTTATGAACTAGTACGCATTCTTAGTTATCGAAAGTATTTTTTATTATGTTTTATTACATTCGGATTGATGAAATTGAACTATTGTTAGTCATTCGGATTGTATCTTTGTATCCACAAATATTTTGATGTTTAGGATCATATCATTTGTTTCAACTAGAGGAGAAGTGTTAACGTATAAGAATTGCTACTACAACATTTATGTACATAAAAGGAGAATTTTTGTAGTTGAAATTTTGTTACTTTCTTTCTATTAGATGCATGCATATTCCCTCAATGTACTTTCACTAGAAAAGATGAAACAATAATACCCAGGGCGGTCCTAAACAAAATAAAAAATGGTGCCTATAGTACACATAATGAGGACCTATAATATATACCATCTAATTCATTTTTGTATAGTTTTTATATTAATTTTAGATAGTTTTTTTAAAAATACTTTTTTTTTGTCGACCAATTCATTCATTTCAATATCAATATTTACAATGGCCATTTTACAACATATACTTGAGAATGAGCTCTTGCTTGCTTTGCTAATCAATCCGCTATGACAGTTGCTTGACGTGAAACCCACATAAAAGTGAAATTACAACAACTAGTTATCCTAATTAATATCTTGAATCTAAATAGCATAAGGCAAATGTTGCATTTGTGGAGAAACCAAATCCTCCTTTATCCGCTTTAAGAAGCTATAGACCTTCTGAAGGTCTCCACAAAAAATCACATCTCGGTAGCCTAGCCTTTGCAATTCCACAGCAGCCATTCTCAAGGCCTCAATTTCCGCATCCTCAGAAGACGATATAGCTGGAAAAGATCCCGAGCCAGTAATCAATTGCCGTGAACTTCCATCATGTAAAGTCCACCCTATGCCAATTCGCTCATTCGGAGACATCCAAGAAGCATCAACAAGACAACATTGTTTTTGCACCTGAGCACAAATTTGATTCAACGTTTTTGGAACTACACTCCGATCCTCCCTTAGTGTTTGAACTGCTCCACACTCCTGAGACTTATCCTTCTAATCAACCTCTGACGCCTCCACCCATAGATTATAGTCTTGCATAGCCTTATTAATAATCAGTGGAATGAGAAATCTTTTGTGATTGAAAATCACTTCATTTCTTTGCTTCCAAACTCGCCAGCCCCAAAAATGAATTAAAATGACTTGATCAGGAAGGTCCTTGTTACCTGACAAGAATGACTCATAATTACTGATAAAATCATTAGAAAGCAAAGTTTCAGTTTCAGGTTTCATGACTGGAGCAAGCTCCCAAATCTTCCTATTCACTCTA